CCTAAGCTGTGGAATAATTTACCCCTACACATCAGACAGGCTCCCACTGTCAATCTTTTTAAATCTTATCTTAAAACGCATTTTTATTTACTGGCTTTTAATACAGCATGAGAGTTATTTGTTAATTCATATTTGGTGTTTGCTTTTAATACTCTAAGTTGTTTTATTAGGTATGTTGTATTCTTGTACAGCACTTTGGTTAACGCTCTTGTTGTAATTAAATGTGCTATAAAAATAATTAAACTATTAAACTATTAACACCCTCAGAATATGGGCTCACTGTCAAAAGAACTTTGGGTTTGAGAATCTTCTTCATTTAACCCTTATACACAATAATCACCTTTTCCTTCCAGATTTGACTCTGAATTTGCTCTTTGGCAGAGACGAGGCCTCCATAACTTTTCTGACATGTACATAGACGGTGTCTTGGCAAGTTTTCAGGATTTGTCACACAAATCTGACCTCAGTCCAGCTTATTTAGATACTTCCAAGTTCATCACTTCCTTCAGCATCATAACCCTGACTTTCCAAATATAACTCCACTTACTGCTGTAGATGATCTGTTGAACCTGACATTTAAGTCTAAAGGTCTAATCTGAAGAATTAGTAATTGTATAGCCTCCTTTCAGAATAACAATGCCAAAGATCAAAGCAGACTGGGAGGATGAGCTGGGAGAGCGCTCTTTTAAGAGTAAACAACAGCACTTCCTGTGCCAAATTAAACATCATACAGTTCAAGATTCTTCACCGCATTCATTACTCCGAGGCAAGACTGGCCAAAATATTTCCAAACATAGATGCAAGCTGTGAGAGATGTAGAAATCCCTCTGCAGATTTAACACATATCTTTTGGTCATGTCCAACTTTAAAAGCAATTTTCAAAACACTGTCCGAAGCATTGAATGTTGAGCTTCAACTCAATGCAGTTATGGGTATATTTGTGTCACAGATAGAGGACACTAAGGAAGAGTCATAAAAACATAATCGCTTTCACCACACTGCTTGCACGCAGAAGGATGTTGTTGCATTGGAAGTCAAAGAAGCCACCCAAAGCGGCTCTGTGGTTCCTGACACAGTTCATACAGCTGGAAAAGATAAAGTACGCTCTCAAGGGGTTGAAGGAGAGATTCTTTGCCGTTTGGGATACATCGCTAAAACATTTAGAGAAAATTAAAACCCACCTGATAGATGCTCGACAGCTGCCGTACATCCTTTTTCTGTGTGATTGTCATTAATTTTGTGCAAACTTCCCTTTAAGTGCACATCTTCAAATATGGTGAATTTCCTTGCACCTCATTTAAATTCACTTTATTCATTTATTTATTGTAATTTTCCCTCTGGATCGCTGTCCAACATGCTCTTGGGGTGGGTAGATATATAAAAAGGAGCATTGTGGCCTTGCTACATGTATATCTGTATAACACTCACCTCCACCCGCCCCACCCTGCCTCTTCACCTCTCTGTGGATGGTCAATCCCAGGTGCTCCACCATCACTACCTCTGCTCCCTCCACCTGTGCCCCTCTCGTTCGGATGGGGCGATCGTGTCTCAAGAGTTGGCGGTTCGTCTTGTAACCTGGAGGACTGCGCTTTGAGTACTCCAGGAGAGTAAAAAAGCACTATATAAGAACCAGTCCATTTACCATATGCCTCCCCAGACCATCAGTGACGGCAGAGCACAGCCAATGACTGCCCAAAACATTCATGGTATGTGCACAATGACAATAAAAGGCTATTCTATGTTATTCTATTCTACCCATCACCAAACCCACCATACCCAGTATGAAATAACGTTCAGACCCCTTCACATCTGTCACATGTGCTCAGAGTGAACCTGCTCTCGTCTGTGAAAAGTTTTGGCCACCATTGGTGGACCTGCCAATTATGGTATTCTATGGCAAATGCCTGTCGGGCTCCACGGTGCCGGGCAGCGAGCACAGGGTCCACTAGAGGACGTCACGGCCTCAGACCCCCTCGTTAGTCTGTTTCTGATTGTTTGGTCAGAGACATTCACACCAGTGTCCTGCTGGAGGTCATTCTGTAGCTCTGAGGACGCTCCTCCTGTTCCTCCTTACAAAGAGGAGCATTTACCGGTCCTGCTGATGGGTTAAGGGCCTTCTATGGCCCTGTCCACCGATAACTGCGCATCTCTCTGCAGGGTCCTGAGACCGTGCTGGGAGACACATCAAACCTTCTAGCAATGGTACGTAGATGTCATCCAGGAGGAGTGTTGGGAAGGTTACATTTAAAATGTATTCCATTACAGATTACAGATTACATGCCCCAAAATGTATTCTGTAACGTATTCCATTACGTTACTCAATGAGAGTAACATATTCTGAATACTTTGGATTACTTAATATCATTCTTTTTACAACTACATAAATGTGCTATTGCTGTGATTTATTACTATTACTGAAGGTTACTCTCCACACCAACACCAGCTAGATGTTTAAATTAGGGATGCAACGATACCAATTTTTTCAAACCGATACTTGGATCTGAGTACTTGCCGATACAGAGTACAAAAACCGATACTTCTACCACACACACACACACACACACAAATGCAATGAATTGGAAGACAGGTTTTATTTTATTCTCT